ACTAAAGGATCTCACCCTAGACCAATATGGTTTAAAGCTTTCACTTTATAGTAACTGAAAACGCATGACTGGATAGAAATAAAATGCATAAATTAGTAGTTGTTAATGTTTTAATACTTCGGTTCATACCCTTTTTATTTTATTTTGTTTTGTTTTCGCGATGGTTCATGAATCGATTGATATTCAGTTCTTTTTTCCAAAGCAAAGAATAAACGATGTGCAAAAATACGCAGTAATGCTTTATGTGATAAGATGGATAATAAAACAATATCTATTCCATAGAGTATTTCGCAAAAATGTAAACATTCAGTAAATCATTTTCTGAAATATTAGAAGTAATTAACTAATTGGAATAAAAGAAAAAAGGACCTCTAAATTTTCAAAATAATCTAAAAAATCGTTATCCAGAATTATAAACAGACATATCTAATCATGATACTACTGATTTAAAAACAAAGGGAATAACTTTGATGACAGATCTGTTGTCGTTGAATGAAATACACTATATTACTTCCATATAAAATTAACTTTAACAGCAAAAAGAAATTACATGTGAATAGGTTGCGTTAAATAAGACTTGGTAGTGTCTTTTAGTACTTCTGAAAGCACATGAAGAAAAAAGGTCAGACGTAAGACATCTACTTAATCCAGTGGAGTAAATAACACCCCCGCAAGAGGTTTGAGGTCGGCCGATCCAGAAATAAAACATTAAATAATAGATGTGCACAACCTTCGGTACGCGGCAGCACCTGAACATAATAATAAAATATTATTAATTTTTTGTAAAATAAAAAAAGGAAATTTTAAATTGCTCATTTAAATTTTTTTGCTCACCTAATCGAAATGAATGTAGTTTTTAGATTGCTTTTTTCGGTGGTGTTCGTTACGAATTTACAAACTTTTAAAAATCCCAATATTTTTAGTACAATAAAATTATGATGCGTTATAATTAAAATTATGATAATTGTTTAGAATTTTAGCAATATCTTTTGAGGATCTTTATTTGCACCCATTTCATAGTTAATTCAAATAACTTTTAAATCGTATTTTTGGAAGTTATTGTCGGATTATCAGGTATTTCATAAAGTCCCGACCTTTTTAATATGGTATTAAAACGACGCGCGATATATTAAATCACTTTTGATGTGCTTTATTTGTGTCAATTCTATTGTAAATTCAAGTAATTTATCCAATGTTTTTTTGGCACTACACATTTCCACATGATTTTGAAAATTCTGATAGTTTTAATATGTATTAGCAGAGTTGCCAACTTGCTCCGGACAGCAAATCTATATTTTAAAGTGGTAGTTGTTTAGATTCTTGGTTTGGGTGAATTTGTGATTGTGATTCTTGGTTTAATAAATTCAATTTAGTAGATTTTTATCCACCACTATTTCTAAATTATTCGTAGGATTATATAAATCACCACACTATAGTACTTATATCATGCTATCCCCTTAAAAAGCGAACAAAATTAGTCAAATATTTGCAAAATTTACTTTGAAATTATTTACCGGTTTTTTTAATTATTTTGGTGAGTCCGGAGCAATTGGCATCTCTGCATTAGTACGACACTCGACTCGAGCATTTAAATGTGCACTTTATTTGTGCCGGATCACAAATTTGAGAATTTTTTTTCTCTCTTTTGTTGTTCTTTCAGCAGAAATTGCTACGCTTTTCCACAGGATTTCGAAAATCCTGGTATTTTTAAACATGTATCGTAAATATTTGTAATTTTCGAATCAGGCATTTTAATTGTCATACATCATTTGTGCCGATTTCCTTGACAAATCCTGTTATTTCTCTCTCTCTTTAGTTTTTTTTTTTTTTTTTTTNTTTTTTTTTTTTTTTTTTTTTTTTTTTTTTTTTTGGTTGTTGTAATTTCTTATTTTCCTGTGTTTTTTTCTTTTTCAAATCTCACTATTTTTAATAAAATATTATTGCAAAACGGGAAATTCGAATATAGGTTCTTAAACTGTTTATTGTTTCTAAATTTGGTTTTTAATTTTTTGTAGCTGAAAAAAGTTCTCAAAAAACTGAGATTTAACATTTATAAAATCTCTTATAATTCACTAAATAAGAATATCGTAAATATATGCTGAACTGAAATAATACAATAAAAAAATAAATAAAAATACTGAATTGAATTCTAATTAAACGTTGAATCTTAGTTTGAGCCATATGCGTTTGTTTTATTTTAAATAACTTTTGACGATTTCTTAATTAAAATATTTAATTTGCATTTATGTTGCTCAGTAAAATATATATTTTTTTTTTTACTTTTTACTTTTATTGAAGAAGAGTGCATTTAATTGATTTTGAAATACTTTTGTGTAACTTGATGTGATAAAAAATCGCTTTTTCACCAACTTTCGATAAAACTATTTTTGGATGAAAGGGAAATATTTTTATTTTGAAAAGTGTCAGTTTGGTATTGTTAAATTTTGAATAAATATTTAAAAGAACTTAATTTAGCGTAAATACTCGTATATTACTAAGTTGCCTGATGAAAAGAATTGTGTCTGAAACACGGATGTTTACATAAAATTATCATAATTGCCGACAACATGTCTAAATACGTGGGCACTCTGCCCTTTTTTCCGAAAGGTTGTGCACCTCTAAATGTAAATTATTGCTCTTTATTCAGAAAGGTTGTGCATCTCTGCATATAAATTATTGCCCCTTATTCAGAAAGGTTGTGCATCTCTACGTGTAAATTATTGCTCTTTATTCAGAAAGGTTGTGCATCTCTACATATAAATTATTGCCCTTTATTCAGAAAGGTTGTGCATCTCTACATATAAATTATTGCTCTTTATTCAGAAAGGTTGTGCATCTCTACATATAAATTATTACCCTTTATTCGGAAATGTTGTGCATCTCTACATATAAATTATTACCCTTTATTCGGAAAGGTTGAGCATTTCTACATATAAATTATTACCCTTTATTCGGAAAGGTTGTGCACCTCTACATGTAAATTATTACCCTTTATTCAGAAAGGTTGTGCACCTCTGCATATAAATTATTACCCTTTACTCAGAAAGGTTGTGCACCTCTACATATAAATTAATACCCTTTACTCAAAAAGGTTGTGCACCTCTAAATGTAAATTATTACCCTTTACTAAAAAAGGTTGTGCACCTCTACATATAAATTATTACCCTTTACTCAGAAAGGTTGTGCACCTTTGCATAAATTTCAGTAAAAATATTTTTTTCTTTTATTAGATACTTTTTATTCACTTTACAATCAAAAAAATAACCCTTAGCAAAACTCTGAATGTAACATTGTGAGAAAGTGAGTTATTTTCTCGTATTATTCCATTTCAAATTCCATTTCAATGTTGTAAATCGGTAAGTGTATATTATGTCCTGATTCAGAGCTGTTTTTATTCTCATTATTCCTTTTTAATGAATTTTAAAATGATATACATTAAAAAATATAAATTGAAATGAAAAGAATGATTATAAATATCCGAATGTCAGGTCATCGTATTTTTGTTTCATATTTAAATTTTAAAAATTTGAGTCAAGTCTGAGATAGGGCGTATTCATAAATATTGCAAAGAGGGCGCACCTAAGTCTACATACGTCACTGGCTTAATCATGTTTCTCCACGCATAGGTGATTAAAACCGATTCAGCACAAACGGAGTAACCTTAATGATTATTTTGAAATCTGTTATCGTTGAATGGCATTAATCGATTTTCTTTATATGTTGGAAGTATCATTCAATTCATTAGCAAAAAGGAAACGCAATTAAAAAAAATTAGGAAAAAAATATAAATCGTGATATTACAGGATGAAAATAGTATTCAAAGGCGAGCAAATCTTAAGAGATTTGTGGATTTGCCTGAAACTCAAAAATAAAGAGGTAAAACTAAACAGTTGATGTATACGTGATATTTCAATCTCATTTCCAGTTCTGACGAGTTGGGCATCAGTCAAGAATCTGAAAAAATCAGGTGCATAGTCACTGCTAAGATTTAACATCTGTTTGTTTATGACATAAACACTTCTATATAAAGAGTGTTCCCTAAAGACCACCCTTAACATATATTTTTAGAATCAAATACGAAAACAAAAATGTCTACGGCTAGCAAATTAATGTCAAATCGAGGAAAAAACAAGAGGGCTAAATGCCAAAATCGGTTTGATTGCAGGTTACATATTGAATGTGTTTTTAATAATTGTTTCTCCTCACGCTATCAAACAGGTTTTGTACGCTCACATTCCTCAATTGTGATCCGTCAGATTTTGCTCCTTCTTCTCGTTTAATTGCAATGTGTATAAAGGAACAGTAGTGCAAAATCATTTTTAACTATCGTACGGCTGTTGATTGGGTAGAAGTCAGTTTGTTTTACTCTTTATGTAACATTACTGTGAGAGAGCGTAATGACTAATTTCATAATAGTCTATTTTGATACCTTAAAACACGAATGCATATTTCGTTGCTGAATGAAAACGTATCGATATCAACGCATACTGATTGCCAACGTTTCGCTTGTGTACCCAAAAAATAAATTATATTCTTACAAATAATTTTCAGGAAAGTATTTCGTTACATATTTTAAATTATTTTTTTTAATTAAGTTCATACTTATTTTAATGAGAGCTTATGGCTGGTCGTTCAGAACACATGCCTAAATTAGTTATTTAAACGTAAATGCATGACACATATATTTTTGTACGTGTATGAAAAAAAAACGATAAGTTATTGCCCAAATAATGATTACAGAAAACATAAATGTAAAAATTATATAGGCTTGACTATATATTGTCTTTGTCATTATCACAAAAAATCATCTTTGAATTTTTGAAATATTCAACAAAAGGATATAATAAAAAAACAAAAGGAAAATAATTTAGCTATTTTTCCGCACTGATATTGGGGCAAAAACTTTCATTAAAATGATGAAAATGTTATGAGAAAAACGCATGTGTACTGAATTATAAACAGTTGTTTGAAAATTGATATGAATGATAATTCAATTTCAGATTGAGGTGATGAACAAAGATGATGAATGTGGATATTTTTCAAGAGAAAATGATTCGTCCCTCCCAACATTCAAGAACGACATCACAACAGCAGCAGGTAATGATTCTTTCTAAATCAATCTCTTACAGGGAAACTGAATAGTTTATCATTATTACGTACCTAAACATATTGAAATAAACATCAAATATCTATTCTCTAATTAATAACGTCAAAACCTAAAAATTACGAAATCCAGCCAAAGTCTCTTTGCTCCTAACAGAAAATATACTTTAAAACTGTTTGAGCTGATTATGAGATTAAACAATAGTTATCGATTCTTATGAAATATTCTCTAACTTTTCATTCTGTATTTAAAAGTAAACTCAGAGTTGAGTTTGCTGCTGTAAAATAATATTCTAAAAATACTTATCACGATATTTTTTATGCATTTTCATAGATCACCCAATCTCAGATGTTAAATAATGAGGCCAATAACAACATATTGATTTCAAATACTGGGGTAAGTATAAAAAAAACCACTCTCATATTTTTTAAAAAAAATATTATGCATACCATCAAAATGATTGTTGAATGTTGTGTTTATGAATTATTTTATGGGCAATAAGTGCGTGAGTTATTTCCATAATTAGGTTCTGACATCTGCCAATTACATCCAAAACGCTAAAATAATGTTCCACCTCTTCTTGAAAGTCAATGAAAATGTGTTGAGTTTAATGACATTAACTATTGTTGTGCGTCAGTTTGGCAGTTTTTAGTTCATGGATAGTTTTTCGATTGTTTGTGTGAAATTTCCCCCAAAAAAGAGTCTATAGGGTTGATATAAGGAGTGATCAAGCAGTACTCATTATAGTTGCCTCTGAAAATCCCAAAGTGCTATTCCAAGACACCTAACACTTGATGCGGTCGTGCTCTGTCCCGTGGGATGTTTATGAAATTTGAATGATTTAGTTTAATAAAGACGAGACACATATTTTTTTATAATTTTGATGACCTCGGAATGATTAGGAACCGAGAATGCACAGTATCGGTCCTCGTTAAACTTTACTCCCGTAAAGTGCTCAACTTCGCGCGCAGGTCGTCGGGCTACCAAAGCGAGGGAGCCATGTTCTCTGCAGAGGATCAAAATTGTGACAGCGTCATTGGATCATCCTCGGGGATGTTTCCAAAACAGTCGTTCAACAGCCCTTTGTGTAGCTCTAGTGCGTCGTAAATAAAATACTACTGCGTCGTAAATAAAATACTACTATACTACTACTTCGGCCTTTTTCACGAAACTTGGGCGACAACAATACGAGCATACAAACTGATAAAAAAATCCAAGCAAGTCCTGTATTCAACCGTCAAGTTTAACAAGTGTTTAATAATAGTTCAAAAATTATCTTTTTTTATTAGTAAATATCAACAATAAAAATAATTATTAAAAGTCACAAAGCTCTAAGAAATTGAGTCAGTATATACATCATTGTTTTTCTAATTGAAATTAAAAAGCAATCAAAATGACTTTCTTGGGCAATCTAGTGTTAATAGTCATTGCGGTTAAAACCATGCTAGATTTACACTCATTTATTTAAACGGCTGGCAGGAAAGCATACTATAATCTGCCAGGATATTAACTTTTCCGACGAAATGGTGTCGATTAAATGTCATCATGGATATCAGACATTCACCAGTGAATGCCGTCGACCATCTCGCTGGTGGATGTACGAAATATCAGTTCACCCCTTCAGGACGGGAAAAAATAAAAAGCGGTACTTTAAATTCGAAATTAACAGATTTTTTGCTTGCTTTATTTTTGTCTTCTTTGCTTTTATTTTAATCAATGTTTGTCTATTTATTCATCTCATCAATGTTAATTTAAAGTGTAACTGTAAAATGTTCATTTTGAACTAAGTTGTGGTGAATTTAATTTAAACTATTATAACCCTACCCACAAATAAACTGCTAAAGATTTGATTTGAATACCAGTTTTATCTTTTTACCCTGATTGATAACGTTTCATGCCGGTACGTACTTATGACAGTCTGCAAGAAAGGGCTAAACATCATTATTTCTTCCTTTGCAACTGCCAATGTCAGCAATCAACATACATAGATGGACTTTCGCAGGTACCGATCAAATCCGGATGTGCTGCCATCAGTGTTCATCTTCGAAACCAAGTCATTTAGAACCCAATACAATACACAAGAGAACTACTGGATCAGACAATTGAACAAACTCGCTTTCGTAAAGGAATTTTTGATGGAACTAACCCACATTTGGTTACGTAGAGAGGAAAACCACTAAAATCTCCACTTTTAACCCATTGACAAAAGAACTGTAACTCATGTTCTGTGTACCAATGGAGATATTTTAGGTCAGCACTTTGGTTGGTGTGAGCTAAGATTAATATTCCCATCCACCAGCCATCACCGTGATGTGAGCCTGATTTGCTTCATTTGAAGGCGAGAGCTTTATCAGCTGAGACATTTCTGATAGGGCATTGAACCTTAGTCTTAAAAAAAAAACAACTACAGTAAGATCAATAAGAAACGGTGTATATATTAACAATATCTACATTTCTATGGAATTAAAATATATGAGTATTAATCACTTTGCCTGATATTCCCTACATTAATAATATTTTTTAAGGGGAAATTTCTGCGCATGCTTGCTAATTGTTGACATTTGCTGTTAAAAATGAGAATGTTTAACTGATATTTCAGATATCTATCAAATCTACTATGTAATTGTCAACATTTCCCAGTGAATGTCGAAAATCTTCAGACTTCGGACTTTTACGATAAAGTATATGAATAATAGCCAATGTTATATCGTTATATCATTTTCCAATTATCAGCTTGCAGAAATTTATACCAAAACTCGTAAAGTCTCAACCCTTGGAGTACTGAAGTAGAATCAATTTCACCCAGCTGAACACATAATAGATCATATATGTTGTTTTTTTCGTTTAAATATCTATTTAAAAATTTCCTTGAAAAAATTCCTTCAAAAGTTTGTTTTCAAGTTTCATACAGTTTAATTTTTTAAAAAAACTATCAACTCTGGGTATAAAAGACTATTTGAAAACCTAAGTCGATGTGTTTTGTGCTTTAAATAAAATTAAAAAATTACTCCAACTATTTTTCTTCGAAGGGCAACAAATTCATGCAGTTTTTGTGAACACAGACGTTATACTTCGTATATTATTTCAAACATAAGTACTCAAAATATTTCTTAATTTATGAATATTAATAATTCTAAATGTCAAATTAGGATCTACTTATAGACAGGTTCTTCCTTAAGATAAGCCTACTTTTGTCAAATAATTTCGTTAGAATATTGAGCTTTCCGAAATCGCTTTAAAAAATGTATTTAACATTTTATCATTCATTTCATTTTCAAGAATTCACATGAGGATTTATTGTCTACATATGAAATTTATGTTAGTTTAATGGAAAATTAGATGAATTTTCGTTAATTACTTAAAATTGAAAGTTTCTACTCTTCAAAATCATTGTTATGTTGAAATTCCATAGATTTTCATTGATTATATCATCAAAAAAATTGCTTTAATAAATAGAAAAATTATCAAGCAAAGTATTTAGAGGGAAAAAATGGCATATTATCTGATGCAATCGTGCCACAAAGAAGATTCGGTATGACCAGCTATAACATTCAAAATATAATCCCTTTCTGCCAAGAAACTAAAAAAAAAAGTGCGTCTAGGACTGTTAATCGAGAATCCCCTTTATTCCTAATAATATTTTACCTATTTGTGATGTCTGGCGATAAGCATTTGCTTATAAAAAATTTTGCCTTTACAGAGATTCTATCATTCTACTTCGAGAGGGAGGAATAGCAATTTAGAGATGGAGGAAGAGGAGGAAAGAACGGCAGCTCCTTGGACGACGGCAGAGCAGAGTAAGTACTTTCCAAGTATTTTTAAAAATATTTTTTAAACAAGCCTCCCCCTCTTATGTTTTCATTTTAAAAAAACGTTCCTCAGTACAAAGCTGCTCTCTGGGAATCGTGTTGCGGATCTGCACCAACAAAAAAATTTTATTTTGCAAACGAACTCAGGGGATCAGAATGAAAATGTTGTGTAAATGACCTTAAATATTTATCCGTCTATATACAAGGGTTAATATGTAATGAATGTAGAATAAAGTGTTTTGTGAACAATTCCAGTGTTGAAGCCGCAACTGTACTCACTATCCTACACATCAGGGCCGTCTTAATAGCACGCAGAGGCCCCGGGCACAGAAATGTTTTGAGACCTTATAACAAGACATACTGCTTAAAATAGAACTAAAAAATTTTACATACACAAAATAAAGTATTTTTAACATATGCAATAATTTGAACCAATTTAAATACATTTCGATTTAAATGTATTTAAATTTGTTTTTAGTGGACACAAAAAAACTGAATTCACATAAAAACTTCCTTGGAACGTAGAAAAATAGATTTTGGTTGTTTTTTTAAGTTTCCCTGGTGATAAACTATTCTAATTATTGTAATTATTGTTGTGCATGTGATAATCAATCACTATTTGCGGAAAGAAAAACAAATCACACACTTTATACAATAGAATATATTTATTTAAAAAAATATATGTAAGGCAATTTCGTTTATTTTCAGTTTTTTTTTAAATACAATTTATAAGAAGTGAGATTCTCAAGGGCCCCCTGAGTGCCTGGGGTCCTCGGGCACTGCCCGGTGGTGCCCATGTGTAAAGACGGTACTGCTACACATCCTCATTTCAAAGAAACGGTTGTACCGGAGACACTGGAAACGTGTGCTTATTTTTTATGCGATTAGAAATATTCCATTTCAAACGTTTAAAAAAAACACTTATGTTCTTGTTCGAGCGAGAACATGAACGGTTAACTAAATGTATAACCAGAAAGGTTTTACGTACAACATTTTTAAAATGCGATGTAAAATAAAATACCAACCCCTCCCGCTTGGTCCGAATGAGTTTTTCGATAAAACGTATTTGGGCAAGCATCTTACGTTTCTTGAACACTCTGTAAATTAGAAACACTGAGAGTAGGTTTATGAATTCCCTCGAATCACCCATAGAATAAAGAATGATCGATGTTCATATGGAAGGCTGTTTGTATTGTTAATGGATGGGCTTGCAAATGAACTTGCACTTCTGCAAATAAAATGAGTCACTTTTCGCTGAATTAAAATATTTTTAAATTGTCGAATGAACATGTTTGATTGTTAGTTGTGTTTTATTTTCTTCAAAAAACTGAAATAATAAGAAATTCATCAGGCCAGTGCCAATCCCAACTAGTCTTTTCCATCTGGATCGATCAGATGCTGTTTTTCCATTTATAGATACCCATATTTCATACCTGCCAACTCTTCCGGATTTTCCGGAAGATTTTATTTTCATATTTAAAGTGGTAGTAAATATATACTATTTTTTTCTTTTATAAACTTAATTTTTTAATGATTTTAATCACCACTATTCTTAGAAAAATTAAGCAGATATTTTAATATGCGTTACTAACATGGTTGTCAACTTAAGTTTTCTCAAATACAACGTATTTGTTTGCTTAAAGTTGAAGTTTTAATTCCATTTTAATGCCACTGGGAAAAATGATAATGGATGGGATTAAAGGTTGGCAGGTATGATATTTATAAGATGTTTTTCCACGGAATTAATCCATCTGGTGTTTAGCCTTCCCCTTTTTCGATTGCCATTAAATTTTTCGAAAGTCATCTTAATAACCATCATCATTCTGATGGTTATGAAATTGGCTTTTTCCCTTTTTACAAGCACGTAAAAAAAAAGTGAGTGGCACCAAAAAGAATATAATTTTTAAAATTTAGGGCATCTGCTAAAAAGGTTGGTCACTCTTGTCACTCTCAGCAAGTAACTTCAAAAGTTAAATTAAAAAAAATATATGTATATTTTCTTTATATACACAATTTTCTGTTGATATATTTTTTTAAATAGATACAATTTTGGTTCGGATCATTTTGTGACTAGTCTTAAGCGCAATTATCTTCCAAAGCTTTTCTTTTTCAAAAAAAATATTCGAATATATTATAGAACAATAAAAAAAAATTCATATATAAAATGTATAATTAGTGTATAAATATTCGTAACATCAAAAAACACGCAAACATTACAGAACAAACCATAATTTTCTGCTCTAAACGAATATTCAACAGTACATTATACACAGTGTCGGACAGGTAGTACAAAAATTATGCATGTAAATCACCATAAACGTTGTAACAGCAAGAAAATTCTATTACAAATTCTTTTAATAATTTACTTGACTGTGAGAAACGAACATTGACATCAACATCAGATTGTTTTTAAGTAATAATCTTCGGCTGAAGCATCCGGCGTTTGTTCTTTTTTCATTAATGAATGCCATTTGTGTTAAAATGTTTAAAATGTGAATTAAACTTTTCTCCGCAAAGACAGGTAAAATAGGCATTTTCCATAAAGAGCCTCCAAAATCAATCATCAAAGCTGGCTTGTTGCCAATGACCATAACATACTGTTTTGGACATGCTCCAAGGGAACCCTTGCAGAAACTTGGTCTCGATTTCGGAAACAAAAGGAAGAATTCTATGTCTATTCTCTCCCCCCCCCCCTAACACCATGACCTTCAATGCTACATTCTTTTTTTTTCCGTAATTCCTTATTTTTTATTAAGAAATATATGAAGATAAATTTAGCATTTGCTTATTTAGTGCCTATACAGCGACCGCCGCTTTACGTCATCTTATCTGGTACCTCTAAGTTTTTATATTTTTAGATAGTTGAGCCCATTAGCCTGAAAAAGTTTGGGGACCACCATGTGTATTGTGTAGTATACATGGGAATATTGTAGAAAAATGATAATGTATTAAACTTCGGATTAGGTAATAATATTTAAAAAAAATGTTTTGAAAAACGAAAAAAAATTTTGATATGAAATTAAAGCAAAAATTCAATAACATTGTAATAAACTGCACTACTTTGGAATTTAAATATAAAAAAAAAAAAGAATTGTGCAGCTCTAGTGCGACGTAAATCAACAACAACAACAGCAACAACAACAATAAAAAAAGAATTCAAAAATAAGGTTCTGTCTTGATGAACTTAATAAAATTAAAACCTGAATTATTTGTTCGAACTTTACACGGAGTATTGTTTTAAGTCTGACAAATGTTTGACGGAAGTAAAGTATATTTATATATATATTCGTTGGTTTTTCAGCGTGAGACTTAAGAAAAGGAAAAATTCCTTTTAGAATTCAAATGTCCTTGGAAATCTTTTTTTTTCTTCTTTTTTGTCGTATGTGTTTGGTTATAGGAAGACGATGACCGCCTTTTAAAAGCTGCCTACGTTGTTAACGGTGCATCAATAAAACAGAAAACGGTGAACTATTCAGAACTTCAGAAACTATTTATTCCTCGTCGTATGTTACATTCAGAACAAAACGAAATGTTTCTAAAAAAATACTTAAAATTTACTTTTAAGTTATTTCAAGCAAAACCAAAAGTACTAAAACGGCATCGTAAACAGCAACTAAAAGGTTGCTTCACGTTATGTTCTTATTTCTGGCGCAGAATTGCGTTCCATGATGAAAGAGATTTAATATCCAGGTAGGTTAAGATGAAAAGAAAGTTCGTACCTCAGGAATGACGACTATGATTGCTGAAACTGACATCGTCTTCCCTATGGGACGAAAATGAATTCAAAACTATGTTCTTCTATGTTAGAATTCAATACTAACAATATAAAGACGAATTAGGGTATTCAAATTAGATATTGTTGCAATACAATCTGAATGCTTATTGGAAAACAATACCTAGAAATTGAAGCCTCCTGATCAAAAGTTCGAGCCTAACCACTGCGGACAACTTGTGAATCATTAGTTAGTGTTTTATATGCGAAGAAAAACAATGAAAATCAACTTCTCAGCTGAAATGAAAGAGTCATGTTAAATCGTGCCCATTTACAAAATCCTTTCCAAACTATCTTTTCGAAGTTATACATATTATAAATCAAAATGGCACATTGCGATGAAGCTACATAACAGATACATTTTTATTAAATTTCATTTATGGTCTCAAACCTTTTACTAGGCATTTGTATTAGCACATATATAAACATTATGATAATAAATCTCCCCTATGCAATAACTGCAAAGTTACAGATGACCTGGAACATATACTGATTCACTGCCCTCTATTTGATAACATAAGAAAAGCAAATTTCCCGGTAAACCTGACCTATAGCTCACTCAAACAACACTGGAGGATACCAGCTATGCAAAAGGGCATAGAACGAATCATCAAAAGCCACTTTAACGCTGGCTTGCCACCAGACACGTCATAATAACGAAAATGTCAAAACTGTTTTTTCTCAGAATATTGACATCACGCACTGAATTTCAAAGACTTATCCAAACCTTATCAAACTTTTCGATTTGTTGTAAAGGTGGAAAGTTCCCTTTCCTCCTACCCTGACTTCTATAATTAAAATATAGGTAANAAAACTGTGTTTTCTCAGAATATTGACATCACGCACTGAATTTCAAAGACTTATCCAAACCTTATCAAACTTTTCGATTTGTTGTAAAGGTGGAAAGTTCCCTTTACTCCTACCCTGACTTTTATAATTAAAATATAGGACACTTTGTGTATGGAATTAACATTTCACCTGTACTTACTTTCACATTTAAACTTGTTTTGATATGTGGACTGGGTCAGTTCTCCATCTGTTAAAATTAACAGCTTTGTACACCCAGTTAACTTTTCATCTGTTCAAACATCTGCTTTTTACATTTTTTTTGCATTTTTACATTTTTTGGTACTTTGTTGATGGAGTCATCTTCTCATCGGTTTTGCTATCTATATCTTGAATTCAAGTCACCCTTTTCATTCCTCATTGTAAATAC